TGCTATGTTGGATCCATCCGTATGAATGCACGAAAGAGCTCGGATTTGTGTGTTTGCTCTGTACATGGCTTGAGATCCATGTTACATCCGGCATGTTGTAATGCTTACCTATTATCTCTGCACTTGCTTCGTTAGTCTGCCGTGTGACAGATCAGTTCTTGTGGTGAGGTAATTTCTGCCACACTGGATGCATGTATACACACCCGTGACGTAACACGTACTTATCGAGTAGCACATTTTTATATGGAACGGAGTCGTCGAAGCACTTTTCTGATGGAACCTTGACCTTTTGTGTACAAACATGACATTGTGTACATTAAGGGCGCGGCCACTTCGGGAAGCCGGTAAATGTTTCGTAGCCCAGTATGTAGTACATTATACTGTCTGTCATGACTACCATTGGTACATCCAAAAGTGTGAATCGTGAGCGTACTAAGTGGATTTTGTTTTTGTAGGAACTTGCGCTGAGTAATGGAAAACATCTGGACTACGATTGGTCAGGCAGTTACTTGCTTGCTGGAATTTGCACTGGACCGACCTCTTATGAAGGTGTTTTGGCTGCATCGGTGAACGTGAACTCGATGCCGTCTACTTCGTGATTACCAGATGTTCGGTGACCAATCTGTGGGCAGGGAGAGTGTGCATAGGGATGACACTATCTTATCTACCGCGAGTAAATCCGGCGTAGGGACAATTTATTCATTGCGTACTCTGACACCTCAGGGTAAGAAATGAGTTGGAGCATTGCGTGTAAGTTGTGGCTGATCCGGTACCGAATTATCTCTGTCATCTAGACGAAATGTACGAGGTATGGAACCACATAGTTGGCTTATGTCGGATATGGTGGTGTTTGGAATGGCTGTCAAGCCACACCGCTTCACTTCAGTCCAGTTCATTCGAACGATTATGATCCAAGCACCGAAACGCGGTGGATACAGTTGCCTCGACTCATTTCGCAAGAAAAACAATGGATAACGACAGTAAGATAGTGGGATTGAATGCAACTATGATGTATCGAAAATGGAAGCAATAAGGGGGTGCGTTAGACTAGTCAGAATGGAACGTGAGTTATCAACCAGATGCAAGTAACTAAATGCAGGAACGCCATTGACTGCGTGACTGCGCCATGTCTGACAGGGTCTCTAACCATTGGTGGGGACCATCCCGAAGCCCCCATCCACGAAAACGGCATGCACCAGCCTGACCAAGTCTCTCAATCAATTTCATGCCACTATGCCTCATTGACTGGCCGCTTTGCGGTTTCGCGCAACTTGGTGCAGCCGCGGCGTATAATGTACGCCGAGGAAGCCGATCAACGGGCATACGGAGGACATGGCCTAGCCACCATAAGCGTTTCAGATTCAGCAAACACTCGAGTGAGGCACTAGAAGGCTTCTTGCGAAAAACCAACTGGCGGACCTCAGTATTGCTCACGCGGTGTTCCCACGAGACGTGAACAATACTTCGCAAGCACCGGTAGCTAAACACGACCAAGCGCTTAATTTTCTCGCCGCGAACTGGCCAGGTCTCTGATCCATACAGTAGCACTGGCCTTATTGCAGTGTTATGTACCCTACCTTTTACTGACAGGCTGATATCCCGCCGTCTCCATAGATGGTTAAGTCTCTGGAAAGCCACACGGGCCTTGCTGATACGCGAAGTAACCTCTTAAGTGATGTGACCACCAGAGATTAAAGCTACCAATCTAAACGAACCGATCCACCACTTCCAGTAGCTGTTCGGTACTAGCTAAAATCAGAAGTGTGTCGGTTCAGTCCTGCAACAGCACTTTGCACTTTGAAGGTGCAAAGTGCATGACTAAGTATGCAGCGCTGAGCCCCTGTCGATCCAGTGGTGTTTGCATAACCACTGCGTCAGACCCAAAAATAGCCGTCGTCCGAATGCTCTAAGTTTGTCAGTTGATCACCTTGCAGAACATCCACTCCGGTAGAGTCTGGAATAACAGAATCATTCATGATCATTTCGATCGCAAACTTGAAGAGCAAAGTAGATATAGGACAACGCTGGCGAACCCCATTTGTCGTGGGGAACTCAGCAGACAGTTTCAACTAGACCCTTACATGACCTCGCAAGTTACGGTAGAGAGACTGCATGATTGATAGGAGTTTAGTCGGCACGCCGTTCATGGATTGGCAGTGCCACAAGCTGGCGCGGTCAACAGAGTCAACGGCGGTTTTCAAGTCAAGGTAAACCACCATAGTCGGTCGTCTATATGTGCGGCTCTTCTCTGAAAGTTGGGTGAGAGTAAATATGTGGTCAATACAACCACGACTTGGGCGAAAGCCAATGTGACTGTCAGTAATTCGGTGGTCACGGGGACCAATAAATCGTCGAAGTATGTTACCCTTGAGGAGACGGGATGCCATGGAAATAAGACTGATGCCTCGATGATTTTCGCACAAACTGCGTTCATCCTTCTTGAGGATGGGCACTACCGTTGATAGTCGCCAATGTGAAGGCATTTCTTCAGTGTCCCAAATCGTGTTGAATAGAAATGCAAGTTCATTCAATAAATAGTCACCTCCATCTTTCAGGATAGATGGGGGAAGATCGTCGGGTCCAGGAGCATTGTTTCATTTCAACACGGAAAGCTCATATCGATTTTATTCCAAATTAGGTGTGACATCAAGTTTCCACGTCGGCTAAAGGAATTCAGCCAACAGTAGTGTCGCTCAGGTCTACTGAACTGCTCTTCCAAATGTCCCGTCCAACTGGGTCGTCTAGGAGTCTGTGAATGGATCAACAGTCTGTCTTTCTCAGCTATTGTCTCGCTAACGGAAGGTTTCCTCGGACATCTGTTCCGAGTGAGTTAGAGCAGCACTCTGCTATTCACAGTAGCACTGACCTTCTCCGTTTCAGGGGCCTTCGCCAGCCACAAACGTTCCCGGTTGATTCGAGGACTCCTTGCCAGGCGCTGTTTCAGGGATTTACGTATACGCTGAAACTCAGTACTCATGGCAACCTGTTTATGCACTTCGATCCAATTGCTCAATGACTCAGATATCCGTTTTCAGTTACGACGTCTCATGTTAGATGCACCGCAGGCGTTCAAGGCATTCTTCATGACACATTAGAGACGGTCCCAATCATCGTTCGGCTCACCAACCTCATTCATCACAGACAATCCGTGTGTCAGGTCGTCATGATATTGTTGAACTGAAGATCGCGATATTAATTTATAGGTAAGGAGATTAGAAGATAGGTACTTTTTGGATCGGGATGAATGCACGCCAGGCGTGGGCGCACTAGGGCATGGTCGGAATCCAGCCACGTGTTCCAACTTGACTGACAGTCTTGGACTGATATGCACCATCTCTAGCTAATGGCAATATGGTCTTTTTGGCTCCAGGTCATTGAGGAATTAGATGAACACCTGGTGACGCAGTGTGAACGTTTGTGCTGGAAAGCAGTGCTCTCACTTCTCCTAGAACACATTCGTAATAAACTGTTCGTTTGTGAGTGCCTTCATTATTCTGGGATAAAGTATTGGACAGCGTTGTTCCTGCTAAATTCATTTTTGATTATTTTAGATTTAACTTGAAGGAGGATAAGCAGGATTATCTGGGAGACATTGTTTCCTGCTCTCAGTCAGTTTGTTGATGTGAGCAGTAGTTCGGCATTGAAGGGTTCATCAAAGGGAGCATTGAATGTTTGAAAATTATTGAGAATACCTGTAGCTCGGGGTGGGGATGAGAGGATTGTCCTGTTCTCCGAGCTGGGCATTTCGCTTGTAGACGTTTCGTTACCAAACTAGGCAACATCTTCAGTGCGGCTATAGCCGCAGTGCAGTATTAGGAGAGAACAACCTCGCAACTCTTCACTTCGGATGCGGTCCTAGTGATCGAAATGGCATTAGTTTGCTTCAAAGCAAGCTGTAGCTTCAATTGAGATTGCGTGTCGCAGTCCAGACACACGGCGGGTACTCTAAGACCCAATAACGAAGCCAGTTTTCTTTTCATCTCAATTAGTTACAGTTCGAGGGAGCAGCTTATCAATTAGTTGCGTAATGGGACTGACATTTGTAGGGACAATGTCTTGTATTCTCTTCATTATTGTACTTCTTTACCTGTTTTGTTCGCGGGGTGCCGTCTTGTGCAGCTAGGCTTTGTTGGACCTATGTTAGCTCGTTACCATCAAAGTCTATGCTTATGGCGTGGTCAAGGATTGTGTTCTCAGTAGACCGGCTTGAAGCTGTCAGAAGTGAAGTGGGATGAGCAACACTATAAATGTTTTCTTTTTACTTACGGTCTTTAAGATCGGAATGGCCGAGGTCCACCTCAAGTGAACCGAAGCCTCAATAGAGGTTGCTTGTAGCAACCCAAGCACCAGCGGATTCTCCAAGTCCACCTTTGAATTCGTTTCCGCTGTATCAAGCGTTGCTCGCGGATCTCAGTGGCATAGTGCTCATGGTGTCAACCATGAGCCACTAGGCTCTGAGTTCCAGCGCAACTCAGGCTATCTCCAACTGATGAGTCCTAACCAGGACGAAACCGCGGTCTTGGGGTGCCCGTGTTGGGATGAGCAACACTATAAAAGGTTTCTTTTTCTGTCAGAAGTGACTTGTAAAGACGAATTTTGAGTTTGGATTTAACTATAGAACCAAGATGTCCAGAAACAATGATGAAGAAATGCTCTCATACACGGAACCACCAAACTGAACATTAACTATTATTGTGTAAGATAAATTGGGATTCGCTCAAATGGAGCTTATCCTTTTTGAATACCCGCCACCAGTCGTTTGTGGCTTCGAACCACCGTTTATATTCCCTGTTAATCTAGTTCGAATGCTTATAATCCTCCTGTTCTGTTGGTTACGAAATCTTTTATTTCTCATCATGAACGGTTGTCATTTGCCTCAGGGATTGTTTCACCTTGTAGATGGGAGTTTGCCTTTACAGTCCGCTGCTTTTTCGCTGTGTGTTACACTTCATCCATTCTGCTCTGCTACTTCTTCATCCATCTGTTCTTTGCGTTTACAGCTTCTGGGGACCCTGCGGTTTTGGGCGACGTCGGGCGTAAAGCACAATTGAGAAAGGTAACTATGGGCTCAGTGTCAGCCGGTCTAATTTGCCCTATTTTCGCTAGGGATTTCGCGAACAGTCAGCGTATTGCGTCTGTCTTTTTCTACTATCCCGCAGTTAGCACATACGGCGCGAATGACACCAGGTGGATGATAACATAATGTTAACATAATAGATAACGCTACTGCCTTCCCAAACATTGCGCTCAAGGTGAACCGGATGTGGTTGAGTGTTAACCAATGTGTTGAAATAGTAGCTCACACTAGGAAGCTTTGCAGTGCGACCATCACACATACCGATTAATTTAGATGAATACCTTTAAACAGGTTACTTGGGACCATTTGCTTTGTCTAATCCAGCTCATTTGGACCCAGAGGCTGCCGCTTCTGGCCGGTCTGGGGTTGGGATTGCACAGAGCGCCAGCGCTGGAACCGCTGTGTTTGACCGGATCCAAGTTAACTCGACTACGACGTTTATGTAAATTACGTAAGCTTCCAGATGCTAAGCGCACCTTATTTGTCGTCTCTGCCTACGTTCCTACAAACCGCAGTCAAGGATTACATTTACCAACAACTACCTGACCTGTGTTTCTCCAAATGTATGATATTGTCATCCTTGTCGGATATTAATGCGCAAGTGGGCTACCTGCCGCCAAGCGCGGATCATCTTGTGGTAGCAGTAGCTCAGCTAATGGAGACATACTGCTGTATCTGTTCTGATTATCGCTTGTTTCTTTCGAGCACCAGTTTTCGGCACTCGAAGAGACAGATCGCTATTTGGCGCCCGTCTTCTTGAACGCAAGAGTGATCCTAGCTTGACCACATACCAATAGCCTACGTATGGTAAAAAACCTATCTGACCACCGATCGTGCTGGCCAGCTTGTCTGGACTCCGATCACGCATTGGTTCGTGCTAAATTTTACATGCGTTTCGGAGGATCGCCTAGGCGTACGCATTACCGACCAAACGATGAAAATCTACGAAATTCTACGGTCTTAACTGCGTACAACGCGTCACTGGCAACATTGCTTGTCTCAGTTTCTGACAACGAATTGGAATCACAATGGTTACGCATCAACGATACCTTAGCTTCTGCCAATAACTACAGTTATGGAGTTACTGGTCGCACGCTGAATAATTTGATTTCAGTTATCTCTTTGTCCCGGATGGATGGACGTCGCTTGGTCCCAGCCGGCACCTATCTTAGTGGCTAACATGGATCCCCGGATTGATAATTACGCAGGAGTCTACAACTGGACCGTGGAATCCGTTGATGTGAACGTGCTAGGAGGATGGCATTTCCTAGTCTCCCTGGAAATTTCAGATAAATTTTCTACCTCATCCGAGTCACCGAATATTTCTGAACTGGCGTAAGCTATACTATGTGCGTAGAGGATGGTTGACTAATCGCTAATCTTCATTGATGGCTGTAGTGATGGGCTGAACATTCCAGCTCACATTTTTTACTGATCACCAATTCCCTGTGGCATGTAATGGTGATGAATAGTATATCCCCACAGATACTTCTCATCAGGAATTTCGGCAGCAACTCCGCCTCTTGAAACATTACAAAGCGCCCTGCACTGATTGTCTATTCCCTACTCTATTTGTAGGTGGTGGTTCGAGAACTCTCTGCATAGTTATCAGACTTCTGCTCAAAAGATTCCATCGTCTTGGGATGAGCCAAGGTCGTCCTCATCTTCAAAAGGACCTGCGCACAATGTGCTCCAACTAGGGGGGTGGTGGTTTGTTCCCGTTGTCTGCAATGCTTCTGGTGACCATCGTACTTTGCAGGCTATTCCCAAATTGCAGTCGCTACAGCAGGAAGAACAGGCTGGGTTCCGCCCTGGCCACGGCTGCATCGAGCAAATTTTCACACTCCGCCAGATCCTCGACCTCCGCCCTGAGTATCAAAAGCCAACGATTGTCATGTTCATGGATATCCGTGCTGCTTTCGAGTCTGTCGACAGGACGGCATTGTGCCACTACCTGTTGAGGAATGGCGTCCTCATATCTTTGTTTCCGTACTACGTGCTGTGTGCAATCTGACCTATGGAGTTAGGGCTTATGGCAAACTTTTGTCTTCCCTTGTTGTCGGCGGTGGAGTTCGATAAGGATGCCCTATCTCCTCATTCCTCTTCATCTTTTCTATTGAGGATGTCCTCGAAAATGCTCTGGAAGACTTCTTAAACGCTGGCGTTAAGCTCACCCATGTAATCGAATAATTGACTTCAACTACACTGATGATATCGTTATACTGGGTCACGGTCCACCGGGCGTCCAACTTGCATTTAACCGTTTGGCGATTGCAGCGTCGAGCTATGGCCTGCACTTTTCACCACCCAAGTGTGCTGGTCTTTTAAAAGACTGGCAGATGCCTGTACTCGTACTCAATCTTGGTGGTGAGACACTGGAGGTCATGGATAGTTTTATCGACCTGGGAAGTTATATCACTACTGGTGGGGCTGTTGGAGACGAGATTTTGATGCTTAACTAAAAGCTCGTCTAGCTTTCTCCAGACTGAAGCACTTGTGGCGCCACCATGACATCTATCTCTTCATAAGTTTACTGTGAGACTGGTCGCGCTGTGCTGTTGTATGGTTGCGAGACTTGACCTGTTTGTACCATTGACCTGCGCCGACCGTTCGTCTTCCAGCATCGTTGCTTACGGTTTATTGCCCGTGTGTGGTAGCTGCACCGCATAACTAATGGTGAAGGTAGACAGCATGTCTTGGGTGGAGGCAGCCAGTCACTCGAGGAGATCATCTCACTGCGTCAACTGCGGTGACTTAGACAGGTATTGCGTATGCCGGTTCAGCGTCTTCGGCGTCGGGCATTGTTTCGCGGTTGCATGACAGGGCTGCAGGAGGCGGCGCGGTAGACAGCCTACTATTTGGAGAAGTGGCATAAGATAGCTGAGGAAACACTTGGCTTCCATTGGTTATCCTCGATTCCTTGTCTTAGGTCCCAGAGATGTCGCTGCTTTGAGACACTGGAAGTCATGCCACAAGACTGACATCAGTGTCTGACGTGTGTTAGCACATATCGGTGATCCTCTTTCCTTCATTCAAGAAGACGAACCGTAAAAATCGCTACTTTTGTTTGGGGAACTGGACAAAAGAGTTACCTGTTTTTCTTCTTATTTCGATCCTGTTATCCGATTCCGCCCAGATTCCGATGGTACAATATGTGTATCACCGGTGGTGCTCAATTTACATTGTCGAATACCCACACCAGTCCAATGCGTTTTCCTCTCGTACCTCATAAATGTTGCTTAGATAGCCTATTTGACTGTGTTGTACCCAATTCAGGGCGGTATCCAATTGGACTATACTCGTCGCTTGAGCGTTACTTCATTTGTTCCGCTCACCATCACATTCGCAGTTGGTTACTTGGACGTTCGCCTCATTACTCTACCTCGTCTTGCATAGCACTGGTGTAACCTAACTCAGTTTGTGCCGCAGCCGCCTCACTTTCTGGCTCCATTTGCACTCATCTCCATCTCACACCTTTCGGTTGTTTCGATTCTTCTGATTCCAGTTCTCCTGTTTACTCCTTACTCCTCGATTGTTGTGAGGTCTTTTCCAAAGCATTAATTCATCTATCCGAATGAACATAGAGTCGATCGCCAGAGATAACTGGAGCGAGTTGATCGTAATACCTCTGGTCATGAAAGTCATTTGTCACATTTTCATCCGCTACTGGAATATCACCTTTACATTAGTTCGATAACCCGATTGGCCCCAATCTTTACTCTGAATGAAAGAAGAGCGGGCATATTTTCGACCTGACTACAATCGCATTTTGGAACTGTGCCAGTTGCCAGCGCAGCATCAGGCATACTTGACTGTGGTTGTGCTCCTTGCTTTCCCAATTGTATTCCACTCGGTTCAAGTTACTGATGCGGAAGGGTTTGTTAGCTCTTTACACGCTTTTTTTCTCAACACAGGTTGTGTTGGGGTTTGTAAAGTTCGCGTGATATCCCCCAGAAATGTTGGCTAATCCTGATTATTCGGAAGCAAACGTGTCATTGTTCGACGTCCATTATACGGCCGTATCAAGTGCGACTAATTCACTTTTTGTGGATCCATCTTTTGTCCTACGAACAACTTGCGTTAAGAATCACAACCAAGAATCTGCTGATATTTGAGATCCTCACACCGCGCGAGCCACTTTTCATTATTATAACGGATGAGGGCTCTAGATGTAGTCCTCTAGATGCAAATTTGAAGCCAAAGCGCGATCCTTTTCTGATGCCGCGGCTATCGGTGATTCACATGGGCAATTGTGGTTTACTCACAGTCTG